TGAGAATGTTCTTCAGAGAGTAATGTGAACAAAAAAGATAATTATTTTATTCTATAGAAACAACTTTATATTGGCGATTCCTTTCCAGTCAAGGGATAAGTGAATCAGAATGATGAACGTTACTTGTTATATACTTCTTCAATTAACTTTTAGTTCTTCTCTTATTGTTTAACATCATGTTCAAGTCTTTGTTTCGTCAAATGCAGCAAGCATTAATTCAACGCGGTTTAGAACCATATATTTCATATGAAATTGCACGAAACGCGTTTAAAATGTTATCAAAAGACAAGCAAAAACCAAGTTTGTCAAACTTTCTTTTTTTTATATATGTCATGATTACTATATTCTGTTATTTAAGGTCAATCAACAATTACAACATTTTACGATTTACCAAGCGACGTTCCGCTTCTGCTCTTCGAATATTTTCATGTTATCGAACTATTTTGCACTTTTTACACTTTAAATCTATTCATCAATCGCATACTCGATGATAAACATTTGTTTCTACATGCAGATTTAACAACTAATTCACCACTTAATTATTTTTGTTCATTCATCCAATCTAGAATTTTTTCAGCACAATTGAAATGGTTAGTTTCCGTTTCGTCGAAAGCTTAATTAATATTCCTGTTTCGTTGAAAACATTTTTTTCTAGTGTTTCTGTTTCGTCGAAAAATAAAACTGGAACTAGAATATAGATTATTCTAATTAATAAGCTTTTTCTAAATAGACTAATTAAAAAGAATGCTGAATTATTCTAAATGAAGTAGAAACGGAAATTAATCACTATCCATTCTATTTGTATTAAACTTTAACATAATGATTTCTCTAATATATCTTGCACTGTATTTCATGTCAGCTATTGTTGAAAGTAAGCGTAAGAAACCAATTTTATTTTACTTGATACTTTTCGTTACACCCAAGACAAAATTGTGAATATTAGTGTTTATTGGAAATGTGAAGTCCTGGGTGTGCTATACAATATGGATCGGATGCACAAGTACGAAGAAACCGCACAATCAACAAAACATGTGCACTAGCATTTATGCCGGAGTACTAGTATTTATGTGGGATTATTCTGATTTTAAAAGTTCAAGAACAAATTAATAGTTTAGAAGGTTGGCATCATCATTTAAATACTGATTTAAATCATATCATACATCCACAATTTTATATGTTTATTCGTGCTATTCAAAACGATTATGCATATAATTCAGCAATATCATCACGTCATACAGCCACTGGTACAATACCACCAAGAAAAAAGTTATTTGTGAATCGAAATGCACCATTACGCGATTTAGAAAATCGTTATAAACAACAGGCATTAACACTGGAAGAATATCTTGAAAAAGTGATGCGATTAATTGGTATCAAAAAGTTTTGATTTTCATTTATTTTTCGTTTGTGTTGTTCCTTGCTCTAATAATGTACACAGTTACTTTTTCACTAGAATCGTTTGGAATAATTCAGAAATTAAAAAAGTCCTATTAATTAATAATAATCTATATTCTAGTTCTAGTTTTATTTTTCGACGAAACAAGAACAGCTAAAGCTTTATTTTCGACAAAACGGGAACACTAGAAAGAAAGCTCTAAATATTTGTTCAACGAAACAGGAATATTAATTAAGCTTTCGACGAAACGGGAATTCACCATTGAAATCAATGAAGTTAACTAATAATTGGATAGAATATCGATTTTATTTAAAACGCTTTGGATCAGTTCAAGCATTAACATTAATCGATATAAATTCTCACCAAGTATGCACAATATTACGAGAACAACAACA